ATATAAGTTAACGTATTTAGATAAGGCTAAAGAGGTTTTGTGGCATTTATGGATTTGGGAAAAGGGTATGACAGGGTGGATAGGGGGGGGAATGTGGCAGATGTTGCGGTGTATGGTATAGGAGGTAGGTTACTGAAAGCAGTGAAGAATTTTTACGAGGATAGTGAGGCTCAAGTTAGAGTATGTAGGAAAGAGGGAAATTATTTCCCGTTTAAAAATAGGCCTTAGCCGAGGATGTGTGATGTCACCATGGTTGTTTAATATATTTATAGATGGGGTTGTAAGAGAAGTAAATGCGAGGGTCTTGGCAAGAGGCGTGGAGTTTAAAAGATAAAGAATCACACATAAAGTGGGAGTTGTCACAGTTGCTCTTTGCTGATGGCACTGTGCTCTTGGGAGATTCTGAAGAGAAGTTGCAGAGATTGGTGGATGAATTTGGTAGGTTGTGCAAAAGAAGAAAATTGAAAGTGAATACAGGAAAGAGTAAGGTTATGAGGATAACAAAAAGATTGGTGATGAAAGATTGGATATCAGATTGGAGGGAGAGAGTATGGAGGAGGTGAATGTATTCAGATATTTGGGAGTGGACGTGTCAGGGATGGGTCTACGAAAGATGAGGTGAATCATAGAATTGATGAGGGGAAAGGGGAGTGGTGCACTTAGGAGTCTGTGGAGACAAAGAACTTTGTCCTTGGAGGCAAAGAGGGGAATGTATGAGAGTATAGTTTTACCAACGCTCTTATATGGGTGTGAAGGATGGGTGATGAATGTTGCAGCGAGGGAAAGGCTGGAGGCAGTGGAGTGTCATGTCTGAGGGCAATGTGTGGTGTGAATATAATGCAGAGAATTCGTAGTTTTGGGAAATTTTGGAGGTGCGGGATTACCAAACTGTTGTCCAGAGGGCTGAGGAAGGGTTGTTTAGGTGGTTCGGACATGTAGAGAGAATGGAGGCAAAACAGAGTGACTTCAAGAGTGTATCGTCTGTAGTGGAAGGAAGGCGGGGTAGGGGTCGGCCTAGGAAAGGTTGGAGGGAGGGGGTAAAGGAGGTTTGTGTGCGAGGGGCTTGGACTTCCAGCGGGCATGCGTGAGCGTGTTTGATAGGAGTGAATGGGGACAAATGGTTTTTAATACTTGACGTGCTGTTGGAGTGTGAGCAAAGTAACATTTATGAAGGGGTTCAGGGAAACCGGCAGGCCGGACTTAAGTCCTGGAGATGGGAAGTACAGTGCCTGCACTCTGAAGGAGGGGTGTTAATGTTGCAGTTTAAAAACTGTAGTGTAAAGCACCCTTCCGGCAAGACAGTGATGGAGTAAATGATGGTGAAAGTTTTTCTTTTTCGGGCCACCCTGCCTTGGTGGGAATCGGCCAGTGTGATAATAAAAAATAAAAAAAAATAACATACATGCTTCTAAACTGTTGTATTCTGAGCACCTGTGCAAAAACAGTGATTATGTGTGAGTGAGGTGAAAGTGTTGAATGACGATGACAGTATTTTCTTTTTGTTACTTTGCTCACACTCCAACAGCACATCAAGTATTAAAAACCATTTGTCTCCATTCACTCCTTTCAAATAGGCTCATGCACGCTTGCTAGAAGTCCAAGCCCCTCGCACACAAAACCTCCTTTACCCCCTCCCTCCAACCCTTGCTAGGCCAACCCCTACCCTGCCTTCCCTCCTGTTTTGTTCCATTCTCTCTACATGTCTGAACCACCTCAACAACCCCTTCTCTGCCCTCTGGATAATAGTTTTGGTAATCCTGCACCTTCTCCTAATTTCCAAACTACAAATTCTCTGCATTATATTCACACCACATATTGCCCTCAGACATGACATCTCCACTGCCTCCAACCGCCTTGTCGTTGCAACATTCGTCACCCATGCTTCACACCCATACAAGTGTATTGGTACAACTATATTCTCATACATTCCCCTCTTTGCTTCCATGGACAAAGTTCTTTGTCTCCACAGACTCCTAAGTGGACCACTCACCCTTTTCCCCTCATCAGTTCTATGATTCACCCCATCCTTCATAGACCCATCTGCTGACATGTCCACTCCTAAATATCTGAATACATTCACCTCCATACTCTCTCCCTCCAAGCATTTAAGTCTTAGAATTAACAAAGAAAACTAAGATATTAGACAAGAGATAACCTGTGGCATAATGAAGTGTTACTTTGTACACATAAAAAGAGTTAAACAAGTATGTGTGACTGACTGAATAACTGACTGACTGACTGACTGACTGACTGACTGACTGACTGACTGACTGACTGACTGACTGACTGACTGACTGACTGACTGACTGATGACTGACTGACTGACTGACTGATGACTGATGACTGGGCTGACTGACTGACTGACTGAGACTGATGACTGACTGACTGACTGAGACTGATGACTGACTGACCTGACTGATGACTGACTGACTTGACTGACTGACTGACTGACTGACTGACTGACTGACTGACTGACTGACTGACTGACTGACTGACTGACTGACTGACTGACTGACTGGCTGACTGACTGACTGACTGACTGATGAGACTGACTGACTGACTGACTGACTGACTGACTGACTGACTGACTGACTGACTGACTGACTGACTGACTGACTGACTGACTGACTGACTGACTGACTGACTGACTGACTGACTGATGACTGACTGACTGACTGACTGACTGACTGAAATGACTGACTGGGCTGACTGACTGACTGACTGACTGACTATGACGACTGACTTTACTGACTGACTGACTGACCCGACTGACTGACTGACTGAAAGATGACTGACTGACTGACTGACTGACTGACTGACTGACTGACTGACTGACTGACTGACTGACTGCTGACTGACTGACGACTGACTGACTGACTGACTGATGATGACTGACTGACTGACAGACTGACTGACTGACTGACTGACTGACTGACTGACTGACTGACTGACTGACTGACTGACTGACTGACTGACTGACTGACTGACTGACTGACTGACTGACTGACTGACTGACTGACTGACTGACTGACTGACTGACTGACTGACTGACTGACTGACTGACTTACTTACTTACTTACTTACTTACTTACTTACTTACTTAAGGTAAGAAATACTATTATTTCTTTTACATTTGTAATCTTAAGCTGTAAACACAACATAATACATCACAACAATGAACTACAATTACTTATTCACTTTTATTTTTGTAAGAGGTGGAGGCCTAAAAAAAAAGTTGTTTGGCTTTTTTGGGGCTCTCAGAAACGTAACCTTATTTTTCCCATAAGTTCTTCAGTTCAGCTTACACGGTTTTACCTAGCTTGGCATTTTCAGGAACATAACTGTGTTAAATGACAGTCTACTGTATATAAAAACATGCAATGTTTATATGCGATGTATGTTTAATAATCATTCTTGGGCACATTAAATGTCTTACTTTAGGTTAATATAGACATTATCATTAATCCATCTATGATATTTTCTTCAAAATTATATAAGAAACACATTACATAGTATATAGCATATAAACATAGCATATAAACATGCAATGTTTATATACTATCGAGTGGTGAGTACCAGCTAATCAAGGAGGATGGAGGGTAAACATAACGTTTTCTGTGATTCAGCATAAGAGGAAACTGTGAATCTGGCGTCTGGTCCAGTCACCACCCTTCATAAGCGTTTATTTACAATTCTCAGCATGAATTATTTATTACTTCTCCCTTTGTTTATGATGGCATCTAAAGGTAGTTGTTGAAATGATTAAATTCAGTGAACATGGTATGTCAATGTAATAATATTGCTGTGTAGTGTAATAATATGGCTGTGTAGTGTAGCCTAGGGGGGCTACATACGTGTACCTACATCTACCAGCTACCTACACTGAATTTCTACAAATGAATACTTCTCACCCCTTGCCCTACATTAAGACTACAAATATTTTAAGGTAAGTAATGAATGTACTGTGGCTGTAAAAGACAAAGAAGAGAAGTAACCCTACATAGGGCTTTGATAGCTGAAGTCTTTATGGAGGGGGATTCCCAACTCCCTCTCCCTCCTCGCCTTCAAAACACCATCAAGGGGTCTTCCATTTAAAAGGGATTTTAAATGTTTTTATTTATATTAAAATTTGTGCTTTATATTTATTTTTCATTGTTTTGTGTATGTAAAACTATAGTTATTATCTATAAAATGTATTTTTTCTTAATACTTTTGGGTGTCTGAAACGGATTAATTGAATTTGCATTATTTCTTATGGGAAATATTATTTCGGTTTTTGGCGTTTTTGGAATTAGGCCGACCTTCTGGAATGGATTACGGCCGATAACCAAGGGTCCACTGTACATGTACTTTGGTACATTTTCCATCTTGCCTCCATGAATAAAGTTCTTATTCTTCACAAATGTCATAATACACCACATACCTTTTCCCTTCATCCATTTTATGGGTCACCTCAACTTTCATAGATCATCTGCTGGCAAGTTTACTCCCAAATATCTTAACACATTTACTTTCTGCATTCTCTCTCCCTCCAATTTGATATCTAATCTTTCATTCCCTAGACTTTTTTTTATGTATTTTCATCTTCATCTTTCCTACTGGTATGTTTACTTTGAACTTCCTTCTTTTACATGCCCTCCCAAATTCCTTCAATCTTTGCAGCTTCTGTACATAAACTCCAAAACAAACCATGTCAATAGCAAAGAGCACTGTGACAATTCCCACTTATCAGATTCCTTACCAACACCCTAGCATACACTTTTTTTTTACAACTCCGTTTATAAATACAGTGCTCGTATTGATATATGTTGGGTGGAAGGCACCCGGCATACTGTAATGTTGAAAGTAATACCCTACTCTAGTAGGTTTGCTAATGAGGCAAAAAGTCATGTTAGCCTGGCAACTCAAATGGGATGTCTCAAACTCGCTTTTTTTTTATATTTTATACATTCACAATCTTTAGTACATTATGATAATTGCTATTAATTATATTTCTACAGTCTGAAGATGAGGCTCTAGCACGAGCTATGGCCGTCTCTGTTCAGGATATGAATGGGGCTCAGCCAACCATCCATTCAAGTGAGAATGAACGTAGCCAAGAGGATGAGGATGCTCAGCTTGCTCGAGCAATTTCTGCCGTTGGAACAAAAAACAAAAAGGGAAACCAAAATCAACGGCGCAATAATTATTCACAATGAATTTTTATTCACCAAAATATAGAAGATTTATTGTTATGCAATATTTTAATAATTATATAAATAATATAAGTGCATTCGTGAATACACATTAGACCCACCAGCTAATGTGTATTGGACGTGCGATGTCATTTGTTTACTCTTAAACATCGGCAAAAATCAAACATTTCCGCTACTTTGAACTCAGTTTCAAGCCATTTTCAGTACTAAAACCAATCCAGATCTCTACTTCTGCAGTATATCTTCCATTCTATCAAATGAAACCAAGAAACCTCGAATACAACTGTATAAAACATATGAAAAAACACCGCAAAGTCGCTGTTTTATTAGAAAAATACGGTCGCAGTTTTTTCTCATTATGCACTGTGTGCTGCAGGATTTGTTTCATGTGGTGCACACTTACCACTTGGGTGTATTCTCTAATATCTAGGCCCAAATTTACCACTCACAGCTTATCTGAGTGAGCTGAGCTCATGGCGTAGAACTATGGCTTGGACCTTGGCTTCAAAACTTTAGAACTACGGGACGGACCCTCAAAGGGCTAAATTGCTCGCACTGAACAGTTTGTCATTACTAGATATTAACACATGTTAATTTAATGTTTTAATTACCTATTGGATCTTTTACATAAGTTTGCAACATAATAGATTATTTTATTAAATATTTTTGGGCCCATCATAGCAGTTTTTTGTAGCCAAAGACCTTCAAGATATTTTTCAAGGAAGATATGATCAGTGCCATAACTGCAGGCAGGATCACAACAATGTGAGGCCCAAGTGTTGATGTAGTGTTGTACAGATATTTTTAACACAACAGTTTGTCTTCTTTATTATGTTAAAATAATTTCCATTTTTCGTTCATATGATATTTTTGTTTTATGTAGACATCTCCTACTTAATGACTTGGTACTGTGAAATGTATTTCAGTCTTTAACCCTTAGAGTGGCCATCATGTGTATCTACATTATTGATGCCAGGGTCCTTCATGTAGATCAACAGTATGAGCAGCTCCCTCAGGTAAGCTGTAAGTGCTAAATATTAGCCTACATATGAGAGAAAGGGTCTGTGTGGTGAATGTGCACTACATAAAAAAAAGTCCTGCCTCATGCAGTGCATGATGGATAAAACAAAACTAATCTTGCTTGGTTGAAAATAGCAACTTTGAAGTATTTACAGGATTGTTTTATGATTTTATTGGCAGTTTCTTTTTATCACTTAATAGAATGTAAGATATACTACTGTGTATAATTTTGTTGGTTTCCAGACTGGAAGAAGCTTGAAATTGGGCTCAAAGTAGCAAAAATATTCAGTTTTTTACCAATTTTCCTGAGGATAGCTAGGCTTCCCTACACCCCCTGGTCTGTTTTACAGGTTATTAATTAGGGCTGATTCAATTATTGGGATGCCATAAACCATGACCACTCATTCCTGATTATATTTTATTATCCAAGAAATAGGGTAAACCTTTTTTTTTTTTTTTTTTTTTTTTTTCTTGCGAATTCAAAAAGGAAGACAATTGTAATACAGGAGAAGCCTGAAAACATGATTAATGAATAAGAGAAATGTTGTTTTAGTGCCTAGAATGTCTACATTGTTTATTTTGGACTATTTTTAAAATTAGATTTTTGTATAAAATTAGCCAAATTGCCAACTTTTGTGCACTTTATAGGGTAGTTCTAATAGTTGAATGGGTGGTTTCTTGTGCTTAGTCGATAGAACATTATTATTGTTATTATCAAAAAGAAGCGCTAAGTCGATAGAACAGAAGGCATACAAGTGAAATTGCCTTAATATAGGACTCGAGGTTTGCAAAATTGCCAATGCATAAATTGCACCCAGACTAACTTTGTGCCTGCATTATTCCATAAATTTTCCATCAGATTTTGTACTTTTGGTGTAATTACTTTCAGAAAACGATTCTCTACCATTTCAGATATTTTTTTTTTTTTTAAAAATGTGGACACTGAGAGCAATGCTTTCACTATTCAGAGGTCTGAATAGTGAAAGCATTAAGTGAAGCTACTTGTATCTGGATACATTTTCCCATAAACTCTCATTACATAATTAGTGCATGTTTCTGAAAATTCCAGTTACAAAATATTCACAGAAAACACCTGCCAATAATAGCTAGCATGACTACTTTTGATGTGTGATAGCATTGTTACTGGAAGGATGGGAAAGAGTGAGACGGGAATTAAATTGTCTGCCTTCAATCTTAGCAAACAGCTGTAGGAGGAAGACTGTTGCAGGGAAGGTTACTTTTACATTTAGGGCATCACTCTTGTAGGTCTCTTCACTGGGGCTGCCTTGGCTATAATGGAATAAATTCTAAATTATTAAAGTAGAGGCTCTCGATTTGAGGAATTAGATATCTTTTCTTCTTCCTTGTATGGAATCTAAATACCCTCACCACAGTGCCTCCTCTCTCTCTATTCAGTGTCCTTATTGGAGACGTTTCCTCCTTGTGATATCACCACCAAGGCAGAAGAAAAAGGGATCATTCTCAGCTCCAATCCATCTTGTATCTTGGTGATGGTGCTGTTGTGAAGTAGGAATTGGATTATCTGGAGATGTTCTTGGTGGCCTTCCACCCGCATTGAAGATCCTGGTATACCAGGTAGGGTAGGGGACGGTTCTATGCAGCATCAGTACTGCCAGCTGCACCGAGGGTATGGCATATCACTTGCGGTGCCGCTCCACCTGATGGCAGGGTCTGTATGTTGTAGAGAGATTAGTCTTTACTGTCTTGACTATACTGAGTGAGCTTCAACTCCCTCAGGATGGCCATGGCATGTACTGGCCTAACTAAACCCAGAAACCCATAAATTCCTTTTTTTTTTTTTGTCCTGGAATTTGAGCAGGCTAGTAATCTGCAGTCTTCAGATAGGCAAGATTCTTCTTGGTAGGAAAATAGAGGTCAAACAGGAAGTTTAACACTGGCCCCACTGAATCAGTCAGCTGGTCTACCATTTGTCTTCCCTGCCTGGTAGGATGATGTGTTCAGCTAGGGCCAAGAAAGCTTCTGTAAGTGGGCACCACTTTGGTTCTGACGCTGCTGTTAAGCTCACTGATGGTACTTAATTATGCCTTTCTATTAACTCTGAGGTTGTTTGTTTTTGTCAATGGTTATGCCTCCCCTTGCTGAACTAGATGGTGGGTGGGGAAATTGGGAGCTGAAGGTAATTACTAACATACGGATAGTCTTCATCCTACACAATGTGTTGATGGTCCTTGCATGCCCCCAGACTTTCCTCTGAGCCTAGTACTGCCTGACTCACTACTTGTGCGTTTAAGTTTTCTGTTACTCAAACACACCAAACTATTTTCACAAGATGTCTTATTATCCCCTATACTGTTCTTATCTGCATGGCTTGTATCCCTGAACAGGAAGCTTCATGGAACCTCCTTAAAAGTCTAGTCCATCATTCTTGGGGGCTGATTTACAAACCCTTCTTCACCTTCATTCAGCCCTAATCTTGATTAGTGACTAAATATATTCTTCAGCCTCCCCCACTACTATTTCTTCACTTGATTCCAGTCATCATCAAGGGTAATGTTAATGTCTCAGGGCTTTTTGACCTTCTCCAGTCTAGAGTCAATATACTGAGGTGATAAGAGAAATTTTTTCCTGGGTAGAGGCATGGTTGACAAATAGGCAGCAGAGAGTTTGCATTAATGGGGAGAAATCAGAATGAGGGCACGTCACAGGCGGTGTTCCACAGGGGTCAGTGTTGGGCCCCTTGTTGTTCACAATTTACATAAACGACATAGATGAGGGAATAAATAATGACATAAGTAAATTTGCTGATATCAAAATAGGCCATCCAATTCATTCTAACGAGGACACTAGAGCACTCCAGGATGATTTGAATAGACTGATGCAATGGTCAGAGAGGTGGCAGATGCAGTTTAATATAGACAAATGCAAAGTCTAAATGCTTGAAAGGATAATAACCATGCCACATATAAACTAAATAATGTAGATCTTAATATTACTGATTGCAAAAAGGATTTAGGAGTTTTGGTTAACAGTAACCTGAAACCAAGACAGCAGTGCATAAGCATTTGCAGTAAAGCTAACAGAATCCTTGGCTTCATATCAATTAGCATAAATAATAGAAATCCTCAGGTTGTTCTTCAACTCTATATATCCTTGGTTAGGCCTCATTTAGATTATGCTGTGCAGTTCTGGTCACCGTATTGCAGAATGGACATAAATGCACTGGAAAACGTACAGAGGAGGATGACAAAGTTGATCCCATGTATCAGAAATCTTCCCTGTGAGGATAGGCTGAGGGCCCTGAATCTGCACTCTCTAGAAAGGCATAGAATTAGGGGGAATATGATTTAGGTGTATAAATGGAAAATAGGAATAAATAAAGGGAATGTAAATAGCGTGCTAAAAATATCTAGCCTAGGCAGGACTTGCAGCAATGGTTTTAAGCTGGAAAAATTCAGATTCAGGAAGGATATAGGAAAGCACTGGTTTGGTAATAGAGTTGTGGATGAGTGGAACAAACTCCCGAGTACCGTCATAGAAGCTAAGACGACGTGTAGTTTTAAAAATAAGTTAGATAAATACATGAGTGGGTGTGGGTGAGTGTGAGTTGTACCTGACTGGCTGGTGCTACTGGGTCAGAAGCCATGCTCCTTCCTTAACCCTTAAACTGTCCAAACAAATTTACGTTCATATGCGTAGTGCTTCAAAAGTAGATCTACGTTTTTTACATATTTTCAAATATAATAAAAAAAAGTAGATCAAAGTTTTTTTTTACACTTTTTCAAATGTAAAAAAAAGAAAAGATCTACTTTTTTTTACATACTTTCAAATGTTGAAAAAACGTAGATGTACGTTTCGGCAGTTTAAGGGTTAAGTGGAGGTGACCTGATTGGGTGGGCCATTGGTCTAAGCCAGGGGTTGACATGGACCTGCCCTGCATGGGCCACTAGGCCTGCTGCAGTGTTCCTTCTTTCTTACGTTATTTACGAGATTGATGCAGTGTCCTATGTCTCCATTATTTTATTCATTTTCATGACTCTTCCACGTATAGAATACTAACTGATATTAGTCGGGCTAATTTGTTTAATCATTGCTTGTTTATTATGCCCCTTTTCTCCCATTGCTTCCCTTAATTTACAAGCCCTTTATCTTCACCTTGCATCTTACTTTTCCTTCCATCTTTGGGAAGTTCCAGCAATTCATGTTTGCTCTTTCCCATTGCCATGTGCAAAGGCTCACTTGCCTCCAACAACTTTGTTCACTCTTTCTTGATCACTGTAAAATCTCACCTTCATGCTATTGCAGTGTAAACTGATGGTTCTAAATCCCATGATGGTGTCAGGTATGCAGCTTTTTTTTCCCTGAATGAATTATCAGAGTCATTTATTAGAATCAGCTAGTATTTTCACAGCAGAGTTATAAGCATTTCTTAGTGTGACCACATCTGCCTTGTCTCTTGTAGTTTCAGACTACCAAAGTTCATTACAGGCTATCCAGAAATTAGAAAAGATGGACAAGTCTAATTTCTTGAATCACAAACTCACTGATATCAAGGTTGCCTCCCTTGAGGGAAGAGGAGTTTGTACCTCCCTTCAGTGTGGTTAGAAGGCTGATAATGTCCTCAGGAAATTGGAAGTGTTTATGCAGATGTGTTCCCTAACATGTTCATAATCTTTTAAGGAAAATAAAATATATACATTACATTGAAATGGCATAAAATAAGAGATGCATATATAATAAGAGGCTGTTTATCTTTGCCATAATTCCTATTTTTATAAAAGGCACAGTAAGAATTTATACACAGTGCAAGTACTTACCATTTATTGTTCCCTTGTACAGTATAATATTTTATATTTGGAATTTAAATGTTTTGGCTTTGATTGTTGAATTATGTTTCCATGCAATAACATTAAACCAAAGAGCTATTTATGGTATACAAACTGTGAAAGTAGCAAAGTTAAACTGGTTGTGCCTATACCAAAGTTATTAACAAGAATCTTCCTCAGGATATTGTTGCTTTTTTTTTTTTTTTACTTTTAAAATGATAAAGGTAAATGTTATAAACTGTTTTGTAACTAAGTTTATGGATAAACTTGGAAATGAATATTTATATTTCATTATTGTTGTATACGAGTGCAGACATAGGCATCCACTGAAACTTTTCCATGGTATCAGAACTTAATATCGATTTGGTTAGTTTTTCTTAACACAAGCCTGATCCAGAGGAGAGGAGAGGGGAAGGGGGTTTAGAGAACTGCCACCCCCCTAGCAGATGCCTATGACTGTAGATCATACAGACTGCATTTCAAAATAACAATTTGTCACCATTAGTAGTTATATTGAGAGTATGTTTCACACAATACATTAAATAATTACAGTATATAAAACCATTACTGCAACAAACAATACAGGTGAAATCAGTTAGTTTCTAGCTACTAAATAGGTAGGAAAAGAATTTTATTTTTGCCATGTACAAGTTGCTTGTTTAAGTAATCTCTTCCACCAGACCTTTCTTAAATACTTAGTGTTTATTGAAACATAATGCATTTGTATGTTTTCCTAAAATACAATGCTAACTGATAACCACCATAATTTATGCAATCTGCACTGCCAATAATATAAAAATCATTAATTCTATTATTTTTATTAATAAAGAAAAAAGTTAATTGTTTTTATTTTCCAAAAACAGCCAAAGTGAATTTTCAATTGATGACTCCTTTCATCTGGATATAGTATGAAAAATATGGGAAGGGGTAGTAGAATAAAGTAAGGGGTTTTATTAGGTACCACCAAGGGGTAATAATGTCAGTCACAACATGAGAAGGCCTCATCTGATCAGCTCCAGGTTTTTAATGCTGGTGTTCAGTAAATAGATCAATTCATGCAACTACTGGAATGTGCAGGTGCCCTAGAAACTACTTTATGGAAAGCTTCCCCCCCCTTGCTGTATATTATTATTATAAACAAAAAGAAGCACTAAGCCACAAGGGCTGTACAGCCCCTTGCTGTATAGCCCTTGTGGTTTAGCACTTCTTTATTATAATAATATGGAAAGCCCCCTTTTGTCTGGTAACTTTCAAAAGCCTCTTCTGCCTGGATTCAGATATTCAATACTAGACCTCTTAAGGGAGGCTCCTTGATGCTGGTGAGGGGCTCTTGATCTAAGGAATTGAACCTATGCTCCAATTCTCTGAGTCATGTCTGAATACTTTCCATGACCCCTATGGGTTTAGTGCTCCCCCCCCCCTCTTGAATGTAATAATAAAATTGAACATCAAAATGGTATACAATACCGACAGGTTGTTAGGTAAGTAACAATACCTAACAATAATAAAATTAAACACTTGAGGGCAGAAAGTGTAATGGAAGTGTGTTGGTGCACTTTGGTCAATTTTACATGCAAAATATTTTGAAAATTTTCATGTTAAATATCCTTTATTATACCTTTTTTGAATAGTTTCAGCCTTTAATACATCAACTTTATAAAGTGGAGTACTGTACAGCATATAATTAGGGTAATTATTATTCAACTACAGAAAGCCCCTGCAGAGCTGTATGACCCTTGTGGGTTTAGCACTTAGTTCTGATAATAATAATAATAATAAAGTAACTTGTTATGCAGCCTTAAATCTAACTTATAATTACTAAACAATGAGATACACACAGTATGTATTCTATTAGTTCATTCTATATGGCTTTAATAAGTTTGGTAGAGAAGAATTAGTTTTGTTTATTAACCCTTTCAGGGTTGGTGCCATACTAGTACGGCTTGCACGCCAGGGTTGGTGCGGTACTAGTACGCATAAATTCTAGCGCCTTCAAATCTAGCGAGAGAAAGCTGGTAGGCCTATATATGAAAGAGTGGGTCTATGTGGTCAGTGTACACAGTATAAAAAAAACATCCTGCAGCACACGGTGCATAATGAGAAAAAAAAACTGTGTTTTTGGTTTAAAACAGCGGCTTTGCAGTGTATTTTCGTATGCATTTATGACTGTATTCTAGTTTTTTTGGTCTCATTTAATAGTATGGAAGACATATTATGGAAATTGAGATGATTTTGATAGGTTTCACAATAAAAAGTACCCTGAAATTGAGATCAAAGTAGCAGAAATGTTCGATTCTTGCCAAAGTTCAAAGGTAAACAAATCATGCCACGCGTCCAATACATGACAACTGGTGAGTCTAATATTCTTTCACAAGTGCGCTGATATTATTTATACCATTTCTACACTAATGCAGTAGGCTGCATAACATAAATCTTCTATTATTTGTGAGAATAAAAATTCAAAGTGGAAAGCAAAAGAAATGTAGCAGAGGCCTGGGGACGTGAGTAATCAACAAAGGAAATGTTATTTTAGTGCCAGGAATGTCTGTCTTGTTTATTCTGTAGCCTATTTGGAAATTGGCATCTTTTGAAATTTTTGTGAAATTGGCAAAATTGCCAATTTCTGACCACGTTATTGGTTAGTTGAAATCGGGAAATGGGTGGTTTCTTGTACTCATTCGATAGACAAAATGGAGCTCTAGCGAAATAGATATGATTTTTGTTGACTGGTACATTGTAATTAACCAATAATAGGGCTCAAAGTGGGCGAAATCGCCAATGCGTAAACATCGAGACCAATGACTTCGTGAGAGCATAATTCCGTCAGTTTTCCATCAAATTTCATAGTTTTGGTGTCATTGTGATCGGGAAAGGATTCTCTATCATATGAAAAAATACTTTTTTTTTTTTCCAAAAATTTCCGACCCTGAGAACGGGAGAGCTCAGCCGGCATTGGTGGAGTGTGGACATGTCTTCTGAAGGTTCCTCAGTTGTTTATTGGTGGTGTAGGCCCTGTTTAGGCTCTGCTTCACCGTCTTTCTTTTCTTGTGTGCTTGCGTGCCTACTACATACACAGAACAATACATGCAAATGTAAACCCCCCACTCGAACTTTTCCTCGCCAACCTAAATAGGACACATGACCACAACACAAGACACAGATCTCTTTTTGATATACCTAGTGTCCATATCACACTGTGTAAAAACTCTATGCACATAAAGGCCCCCAAAATATGGAATTCATTACCAGAAGATATTAAAGTAACCCAGTCTGAAAATCAATTTAAGACTTCTCAAAAGCCACTTAATCACCCTAGACTAAATGCTAAATACTCAGTATACATTTACTCACCTATGTACTCCCACATCATAACTGAAACAATCACATTGAACCTTTTATCCATTGTTGACAGGAATATAATTGAATCATTGTTTTTCACAAAAGCATTTTAGAATATAAATACGTATATCTTTGTATTATACAAATTTTGATTCATTTATAATTAATATTCTACTGTACAACTATGAAATAATTACTTTCCTACCGTACAACTATGATATACTACTACTTAGTATTAGGTAGAATGTAAGCCAATAATGTTAAGTTGGCCCATAATGCCAAGGCATAATAGAGGCTCTCTTTGCATTACATCCCACTATTGTATATACACAATCTCAATGTACTGTTTGCAAAGACATTAAATAAATAAATAAATAAATTGTCTTCTCCATCAGGCGGTGTTGTGTGGCCCACTTGTGGGGGGTTCGACTGAGATGTCGTTCGCCCCCATAGGGAGGGACCCCCCTCATGTCTCTACTCAGTTGACAACTGTTTCACTACCATCCGACCAAGATATGGCTAGTGTGCCCCCTACTGGGATGAAAAAATGGGCCCTTGAGGTTGACGACAGTGCCAGGCCCTTGTCTAGCCCAAAATGCCAACTCACCACTTGTGCAGACTATGCTCCTTCTCCTCACACTACTCTAGACGTGATGGTGGTTCTTGTGCATCCTTCACCAATCCACGGGATGTCACCAACGCCATCAGTGGATCTCCTTTCGGCAAGGCTTGCATAGATGGGGCCGTCCAACAACTCGGTAGGGGTGCAGCCCTAAGGCTCCGGCTCCATCGTAAGTCTTTTCTGGCCAGAAATTTGCCACTAAATGCCATTCATGTCCTGGGTAGGTGGAATGTTGTCTGCTGGGAGGTCCACTCCTCAATCCTCGCCGCCGGCTGTTGTTACAGCAGAATTGGACCGATTTCTGCATCCCTCTCAGATGAGGAGATCCACTCTGAACTGGTTCACAGTGGGGGTGCGACTTAGGTTTGCGGGGGGTTTTGGGACCCTCTCGAATCGTCCTATCCTATCTTTTTGGGTTTGTGTATGTTTCTCGGGTGCTCCCCGAAATTTGTGACTTTTGGCAATCTAAGTTTCCTGTTCTTCCCTTTATTTTTCCCTTACCCCGGGTGTGGAAAATTTTTCCCTTTTTTGGGCATGGAGAGTGTTTGCGTGAAAGGTAAGCTTGCAAAGCGCGGGTTTTCCCCAGTAGTTAAAGATGGCTTACATTACCCCCCCCGCTTCATGCTCTTCTGTAAAGGGGAAAACCAAAAGGTTACCCCCCCAGTCTTGCCCGACATAACCAGGCTCTTGTTTTGGAAAAACTCCCCGGGGGCCCAGTCGGTTTTGTTTGAATGAAAAACTCCGCTTGCAGCCCGAAAGCCAGTCCAGTCTGTCACCCCCTCCCCCTTTCACTTCCAGTGCCCCCCATAAGGAATTTCCCCCCCAACCAACCGGCCAGGGCCCCTGACCCCGCAGTGTGGGGGTAACCCCTGTTTCAAATGGGTTTTGGGGGCCTTGTGACCTTTTTCTTTACCTTTAGAGGATTCCCCACCCCCGCGGCAACAAAAAATCGGGGTGTCCTCGCCCGCCTTCCATTGGGAATTTACTGCACATGCCCCCCCCCTCGCCACAAACGCAGTCCCCCTTCGAGGTGGTCCCTTCCCAAATGATCTTTGTCAGACCCCCCCAGGTTCAATGGACTAACCCTGCCCCCGAGCCCCCGCCGCACCCAAACTTGTCCCCCCCCCCAATTCCCCTCCCCCCCAGCCTGACCTGTTTTCACCCCAGGACCCTTATGTTGAAGGTCCTGCTTTTTACTCTGCCCTCCCTGGGCTTTTTTTCATCCATCCCCTTTGGGGGAGGAGGTGCACATTTTTTACCTCGGGGCACCTTTTTGTGACTGCATGTCTCTCGGTTCTCCCTCCCTTATTGGGCTGCTTAGTTCCCAGAACCTTTTCCCCTCACCCCTCGGTTTTTTTTTGGAACGCACGTTTTGTACGGGGGAAGCTTCCGGCCTTTCAGGGGTTCTGGCTGAGGTACCCCATGGTGGGGGGTCCTCTGAGAAAGGGTTTTACGCCCTGACATTCTCTTAGGATCCCGGGTTTATTTTCCATAGGGATCCCCCTTGCGGGACGGGGGGGGCCTAGCTTTTTGTACGCAACCACTCCAGAGTCGACCCCTCTCTCTCAACCCTATGAGAGGGGAGTGTTGGAAATGGTTGTGGAGTTCCTTGGGCACTCAGTGGTGCAAATACTTGACCTATAATCGGGCAGGTGGGTTTAAATAAAGTAAATTTTTTTACCTATTACTTTGGACAACTCCGGGGTTTTCTACGTGTGTAGGAGATTTAAATGCAAGGCAACAGTTCGGGGGCCCCTCCTTTTTTTGGGCGGTGAAACCCACGTGGCCCTGTCCCAAACCCCTCCCCGCATCTCCCCTTTCGTTGCTCAACCACCAGTTTGGGACTAGAGTGGATCCTTATACCAGGTGAGTTTCTACCCGGGCCCTTTTCGGGGGGGTGGGGTTTTTTCTACAGCTACTGTTACTGTACCCCTTCAGGGGGAAGTGATCATCTTCCAGTCCTTATTTTATGAATGAAGCCTTAGCAGTGCCCGTGACGGCATTTTTGTTCATGTGGAAAATCACCCAGGCGGGGAAGGCAAACTTAACGGGTCCTTGCTGATTAAGCCTGCCTCGGACCCTTGCGGACGGGCTTCACGTCTCTTCAAGGGGCATGCTTGAGGCAGGCTCGGTTATTCGTCTCCCCCGGGAGTTTCTCCCGTTCAGCCCCCGGGTTCCAGGTGGAATGATGGTCCCTCAGCAGTAAAGGATGTCGGACGCGTGGGCCGGGGTGGTGCCCCCCTCTCGAACTCAGCAGTTGGCTTACCGGGGGGCCCGCCTTTGTCGGCGCCCCCCCTTCCAAGCGAATGTGGATCCGGGGCTTTATTCGTTTTCTCTTTTTGCCCCTTGTAGTCAGGAATGGGTTTTTTTTTTTCCTTTTGGGGATCACGTTCTGTAAGTATTTTCCCCTGCTGGGGGGGGAGGGGCTCCACTTTCCCCAGGCAAGGCTGAGTCTTTTTGCAAATTTCTTCGGCCCTGTTTTCTCCTCCTCTCCTCTCCCCTCAAAGGTGATAAAAATGGGGGCCTTTGCCACCTGCCATACCCGGGTTCATTCCCAGGTGTGGCTTTCCCTTCAGCTCCCTGAACTGCAGCGGGCATTTCCCGCTTTCTTCCCACTCTTCTCCGGGGGAGGAAATTTTCCCTTTTTCATTTAACTACATCTACCTCCCCCTGTACAGAAGCTATGCTGGGGGTTTTAAATACTGCGGTATAGGGTGCTTCCCTTATGTGGAAGCGCCTCTTCTGATTCCGATTCTAAAGGGGGCAAAAGATCCCAAAACCGAGTCTTACCGGCCCATTGCTTTACTGCCCTGCTGGGTAAGCCTGGAATGACTGGGGCTATCCTTTCTTGGTGGATGAGGAATATGGCCCCCTCCCTGAAAACCCAGAGTGGTTCGAGAAGGTCGATTCACCTCGCCCCTTTGCTTAAATTTAACAGCTAGTGACACTTATTTGAATGCGGGGATTCCTTTTGGCTGCATTTTTGGACCTAAAGAGCATTTGACTCTGCTCACACACAGAAAATTGTTTTCAACGGCCCGCATGGGGTGACGGAGCTCCCCTCTGCTGGATGCGAAACTTTTTAAAAGGGGGACCTTTTAAGCAGTGGGTGGCACTTTGTCCTACCCCACCCGTAACCGGGGGGGCCCCCAGGGATCTGTTCTTGCCCCTCCTTTTCCTCGGGTTATTGTCAGATCTCCTTCCGCCGGGGATTTGATCCCCTGGTAATGCGGATGTGTGGCCCTTTGGTGCATGCCGGCTTTCTGACAGGCGGGAAAAACATTTCAGGGTGCCCTGCAAAAACTCTGGGCCACCCGGGGGTTTTTGGGGGTTAGTGACACAAAGTCTTTACTAACTTGCTTACTAGAGCCGACCCCCACTTTCCATCAGTCTCATTGAACCGATGCCAATCCTTTGGTCCCCTCTCATCGTTGGTTGGAAGTCCCCTTGATGCACCATTCTTGACAGGGAAGAAACACAAGCGCCTCACTTCCAGTGTATGTCGCCCTTTGCATTATCGCCGGCTCTGGACCAACCAAGTGGGGGGCGGATGAGACCTTCTCTATAGGTTCTTACACTATGGTTGCAGCAAGTCATTTTTGGAGTGGGGTGTATGGCTGGGCTTTTTCCCCCTCTTTTCTCGCTTGACATTCTCCAAAATTTCAGCCACCCGTAAATTGGGGGGCTTCCCCTCCACCCCTATCAATCCTTGGGGGCAATTGGGGATAGTCCTTTCCTCCGGTAGGGGACAGCGGGATGTTTAGACCTACATATGGCCTCCCCTGTATCACCCCTGTCGCCTCTTTTCACAGATGTGGGAGCAGCCTCGTCCCCCCGTTTGGTTCGCCTTCCTTTGTGCCAGGGCCAGCATTCCCTACCTGCCTTACCCGTCCGCACTGTGATGATCCCCACTCCCGGCACCCCCCCGGCTGGACCCCACTTTACATTCATGGGGTTGACTACGGAAAAGGGAACCCCCCAGTTAGTTGATTTCCATTTTAAGAGTTTTGCTCTGTTACATTGGTTTTTCCCGTCTACATGGATGGGGCTCGGGCCCGTCCTCCCCCCCCTTTTACTCTCTCGGCCTTTTCGCTAATCTCCCCTGTGTCAAACTGGGGGTTGGACCCCTGCTCACTTTTAGCAGGGGGGCCTTTGCCATTCACCAGGCTCGGGTTTTGTCCTAGACACATTCCCCCCCAACCATCGGTTCTCTTTTGATTCCCAATCTTCCCTGGACTTTTGTTCTCTGCCCCTCCCCCGGTCACGCACGTCCTCGTTTGTTGGCACAATCTTCCTGCGCTTCTTTCGGGCCAGGTTGGAGCATCTCCCTTTAGTGGGTACCCGCCCCTGTTGGAATCTGGGGCAATGAAGTGGCAGATGGGGGGCCCCCCCCTCGCGCAACACTTCCTACATTTCCCCGCCCCGGGCCACATGATTTTACAAGGGGTATTTGGAAAGGGGAAACCGTCCCTCAGTGGCAAGAGGGCCTTTCACTTCCCTCTTTTCTTCAGATTGGGCTCGTCCCAACTTTTAATGGCCCCCCCCTTGGTCGCCCTCCCAACCGCTGGTGGACGTTGCAAGACTTTTCTTCGAGTGGGCACTGCGACTGGTGGTCATCTTTCCGCCCTTTGGATGACGGACTCTCTACTGCCCGTGGGTCCATCACGCTGGACGGGAACCTTCCCGCGTGGTGCCCAATTTATGCATGGACTATCTCCGTGCGGCCTTAACCCTTGGGGTGCACATTTTCACTCCCACCCTTTCCCCCTCAACAGGAATTTGGCCTGTACCGCTCCTTCCTCTGGGTTCAGGGGGATATCAGAGACAATGAACATAGTTTTATCAAGAATACTTCCACTTTTGGGCATGTCCCTTCCTACATGGACGCCGGGCTGATACGGGTTTTCTGTCAGGGCCCGAAACCCATCAGAAGAAGAAGAAGAAGAAGACCCCGAGAACAAGTTTTTGGAGGGGCCTGCCCCAAACCCCGAAAGGGGGTTAACTAAAGTGGGCCCAATGGATATTATTTTATAATCAAGGGGGAAGCGCTAAACCCCGGGGGATTTATACAGCGCCTGGGGGGGGGGGAATGTGGAAAGGAATTTAGGGGTTAAT